GTCCAATTTTTGATTTAGCTCCGAAAGCTTAATTGTATGAATTCAACTTCTCTGACTTGTTTATTTAATGAGTTAGCGCTCTTTTAGTAATTTCAATTAAAACCGTTATATAAGGAGTGGGCGGGGTTGTTACTCGATTTTACCCATTTTTATACTGCCAAAAATATTTGTCCTGAGTGAATTTGGTTATTACAGCTTTAGCAGCTTAGGAGATATGCACATTAAACCTATTAGAGGACGAGACCACGCCCACTTTTCAAAACAGTCTTAAACTGCAGATGCCCCTCCCTAATGTGATTCGTTAAACCAAATAATCTTATTGTGGAGTTTAGTTATGGCATTTTTTTTGTTTTTGTTTTTAAAATTCTCACGGAAAGACCTAGGAAAAGCTTACGTAATTCACTATTTATGGCAACCTTTTTTCTATGTAAATCCAAAAGTATTTGATTTTAAAGAATCTGTCTGTTAATAAATAATAATGTTTACTAAATACTTGTATCAATGTTTCTTTCTTCATATTCTTCAACTTCCCACTACTACTACTACTACTACTAAAAAAGCTCGCAGTGTGTGAACGAAATTGAATTTGTCGACTTTATGTGCGCTGCGACTTTCGAAATCGATTTTGATTGATTCAATTTTGCATGTGATAATATGCTGTACACCGAATGCCAGAAATTGAGTGAGAAGACGGCATCAAAGAAGGTAATGTAGATGCACCACACATCCACACATATACACAAGCAGGCGCTTTGATGGTGATGTGTTGTTGTTGCTGTTGTTAACTACGCACACCCAAGTCGTACCCGAAGATGGTAAGTGGATAAAGTGCCAGCACTACTTATGCCCGAGTGCAAATGAAAAGCGAAGTGGCAGAAATTGAAAAGAAATACTCCTGTGGATATAAATAGAAAGAAGCAAGAAATTTTATAGCAAAGAAGTAAAGCAGTTATTGGCGCTAATAGAAATTTTTGCAGATAAAAAGGCGACAAATTGAATTTGCAAAGGTCACACATAAGTGACACTTGATACACTTGACGCTCGGCGTAAATTAACATCCACATACACACACATTTGCATTGGGGAAATGCAATTCCATAAGATTTGCGTGAAAAAAAATTGTGGAGCTGTAGATCCTTCGACAGGAGACACGTCAATTGGACCTCAGTGATTGAGCTTGGCATTTGGTTTACTTTCAAATTATTTCCACAAAGCTCCTTGAAACCTAAATGACCCTTCTGTGGGAATCGTGAGCTTTCTCCTCACTTCATCTTTTCCTGGATTTATTATTTCAAAATCCAATTTGCGAAAATTTTATTGTGCGTGTAAAAATGAATATTCAATGTGTTGGTGAATTTGTGCGAGTGTGTGTGTATGTGCTGAAATGCGGTTGCAGCAACTTGTCAGGTGGTAGGCTTTTGTGCTCGGAGTCACCCTTCCGCCTCATTTCAAATTTTATAACAACAAATGTATTTTGTACCGTAATTAGTTGGAAAGAGGTTAATATCCATTATAGTATCGAATTTCAAATGTTAAAACACCGTAAAATGCAAAATCACAGTAACAAATGTTTATTTATGTTATGTAAGATACTAATGGACAACTTTTGGCTCTTCCGGGTGTTTTGGCAAATGAGAGTCGAGAGTGGTGTTGGAGTGAGATTACAATGAAGTATATTGCTGATGACGTCCAAATATCTTAAGAATTGTTCTCAAAATAAAACTGAACTCCTAAACTAAAAAGGAGATTTCATCTACTATAAATAAGCGGAACTTATTGAATTCATAAAGATATATATACGATTTCATAAGAATACATTGTATTTCAGTTATTATTTTAAGAAAGAATATCAAGAAAAAACGTTAACCTCGATTGGCATTTATTTTTATAGCCAAAATTATATAAAAATATTTGTATCTTGATTTTGATCGGGGAGTTTGTTTGGCAGCTATATGCTATAGTGGTTCGATATGGGCGGTTATATCAAATCAGTAGCATGGAAAAATGGACTCACCTTATCATGCTGATCATGCCAATGTTGTTGAAAACTTCGTGGTAAATTGAATATTCTCTGCTCACTCTATAAAGATGCAATGAGATGTTGAAACATTGCGAACAGGCGAACTAAAATCATAGTTCATAAGCTCATCTCCTCTAGTGCTTGTGTATGAAGCGATGGCTTAATGGTAATTCTTTTAACGTCGCATAAATAGTAAAGTTAGATATTTTGATTTAGTCTGTTAACTATATTAGTAAAAGAACTCGAAGCCGGATATGCCACATGAAGCATTCCGGCCACTTGAATATAAATGTTCAATTTAAGCGCTCCTAAGATCGTTAAATGATTGAAGTAAACCTTGGTTTCTATTACGGCTAGAGATTACAAGCAATTAGTTTGAAACTATCGGAAATTATGGGATCAAAATATTATCTTTTATTCAAGAGTGATGCTATTTCACGGAAATATCTTTGCTGGCATTCTTCCATTCTTTTACCGATTTTAACCGAGAGTTAAATAAACCTATGAACATCACGCTTTGACTGTAAAGGTTTGTTGTTCTGAGCGAATACGTTTGTTATTCGTCATTTGGTTGGTTAGTCGGTGAAAAAGGCAGGTGCAAGATCACCAGATTGCAGGCGGCCGCACGTAGGCCCATTGTGATCCCGAGTGGTAACCAAATTAAGTTTTATCCAGAGGATTTGGTAAAGCACATACTTCTTTTCCACCCACAGAAAGATGCGCATTCGTTTAAATACATCAGGAATTTTGTAGGAAATACCCAAAAAAAAATCTCTTAAAATTTGATTTCTTAATATTAATTTTAATTAGTTAGGAGTTCGCGATTTGACTCTAAAGACTATTTTTATTTCAATTACATTTTTTCATAACTTTTGTCATTCACAAAATAAATGCAAAAAAATCCAAATTTTATGGAAAAATCAGGTTTAGTGGCCGTACTACCTCGCCCGTTAGAGTTATAACTTGGCCGCAATGGAAACTTTTGTAGAGCGTTCAATTCTGAAAAAATCCTGACTTTGGTCAAAGTGATGCCTTGAAATGCCGCTATGCTATAAAGATTTAATTATAAAAAAATCTGAGTTTTCGTGTATTTTCAACGGGAAATCTTAAAAAGCCTTCGTCCAGCACTTAAAATTAATTTTGAGGGCTCAAACTTTCTACGATTTTATTTTGGGGTATTTCCATTAAAACTTCACGATGGGACTGAAAAAAAAAAGTTAAAAAAACACCCTACTATGTACATACATACATGATGCGTATTGCACAGATAATGTTCGAGCATCTGACCATTCTCTACTCATGCTCTGAATTCCGCCGAATCCACTTTTCCAACTTTTTGAAAGTGGGATCTTAAGGTTAGGTGCCCTACACCTTTACAATATTACCCTTTTGAGACAATGAGACTTAGTATTGGCGCTACGGATGGCCCTAATTACCGCTTGGCTATCCACTAGAAAGTTTATGGACTTGCTGATTAGAGCAGAAGCTCACTTGTCACCACTTGTTCGGTCTGAACACTGAATTGTAGTCATTTAGTTTGAAGCTACCTTCTGCGTATGGATTACTAAAGAAGAACTTCGGTCCTGTTCCGATTTCATTCTTTGATCTGTCGGTGAATATGTAGATTCCACCGTTGGCACTGTCGTTCACAGAACCATTGGTCCTTTCTTCTCAACTAGGGAAGTGAAAACGTACCATGCCCGCAGTGGTACCGCGTCTGGTTTCAATGGCCTAAAACCATGAGCCGGCTAGCCGTAAGCATTGTATCATACGTCATTTATAAATTTTACAGATGTTGGACGATAAGTTCGGGAGATACATGAGCCAAATACCGCACAGGTTAAGTGAGCACCGAAGACGATAAACAGTTATATTGAATAAACCCTTTAAAGATATTAAAGTTACGCGTTGGATATAATATATTTTGGTATGCGAAAACTCTGAGCAAAGTGGGTACCAACACAATTCGTATATGATAAGCTTGCTTCCGCATCCACTATACTCTCCGGACCCGTTCCCAAGTGTTCGATAATTTCCGAGCCTATGCCAATATTTCGAAACAAAATGTAAAACTTCCAAAAATGGTATTGAGAAGTTGGAAAATTCTTTCTATCGGTATATCGTCCTCGGTGGTAACTGAAAATGTCAAATTTTCCAAAAAATTTTATTTTTTGAGGTAATAAGTACGTTTCAAACTGACTGGTATGCATTACATTTTACATAAATTTATTATTTGCTACATAATTTTTAAAATTTAGTTAGTGAAGTTATTTAAACATTTAAACTTGAAAACAATAATAACTCAAGCATTGTTAATTAAATTTGCAAAGAAATGCATATATATATATATGTGTATATATACATATAATATAAATATACAACTCAACTGCACTCTAGAGTATCGCGGAAGACCGAACAGACGCACCAATCTCGCAACTATGCACACTTGCACACTCGTTCCCACACACGTTCCCACACACATATTTACCAACCGAGAGTTATTGCCAGCATTCGCTGCTCTGCGTTGATTGGCGCTGCAATACAATCATGGCTAATAAACGGGAATGTAATTATGAACTTTTGTGCAACATAACTAAATTAAGCGGTGAATGTTGGTTGCATGCAACAACACGCGGCGGACAGCAAGAGTCAGCCGAGAATGATGCATAGGAGTAATTCAGCAGTTCTCATACACAATGAGGCTGGTGTAAAGAGTAGCTACCGTATTTATATTGCATACTTATGAGCAAATGTTGAACGCCTTAAAGTATGCTAAAATATTGTGTATGAACTACATTTTCTTAGCTGCTGCCTTGCAGTTTTATCTTAAAGTTTCCTAAGTAGAAACATTTTTCTGCAGCACTTGTATATATTTAAAAATTTCTGCTGATATTTTTTTTAATTTTTGCTCGGCATTCCTGCCTTTACGCGCGACATTAACGCATTTTTTGCACCATAAACTTCATTAAACGGTGCTTACCTGCTGTGTTTGGAGCTGCAATTCAGCTTATTCATCCGCACCTGTAATTTGTTGCGTTTTCATATTCTTTTTCTTTTTTCAAAGCGCGTTCAACAAAGACGCTACAAAGTCTTTGTTGAACGCGCAGCCGTGCTATGTCGAAGCTCGTGACACCGTGGACGTTAGCTTGTTACAAACAGGTCAAAGGTGAAAAATGTTGCTAATTGGCGTTGCTACGCTGCAAACTTTTAATATTCGTCAATTTCCAAGCCCACCCACATACGCCCCACATTTCATATCCGTTACAGTTTGGGCGCTTTGCAAGGGAGTGCAGTTTTGAAGTCGCTCCCGGTTGTCTGTTGGTATCCGTTGCGGTTAACTCACGCCGTCAATACTTCAGCACACTTTATGTTATGTTGTACTGACTGCGTGTTGTTGCTGTTATTGTCACCTGCTGTTAATAGGCAGGCAATCAGCATACCGTCAGCGTGTTGTTAATTAAACAGAAAACAGGTATTTTCATTTCACTGATATTTTAAAAAAGTAATTTAATACTCGTAGTGTTTATGACACTTGTCAGATTCGAAAATATTTGGAAATAACTGAATAGTAAATCATAGCACAGTATAGAATAGTAAAACATAACATAGAAAAGCATAGCAGAACATAGCGTACTTTAACATTACATAGAAAGCCATATCACAATATAGCATATCACAACAAAACATAGAATATTAAAACATAGCACGACATAGCATAGAAAAAATTACCATAACCTAATATATCATTGCACAGCAAAACATAGAGTGGTGAAACATAGCATGGCATAGCATAGTAAAACATAACATAGAAATGCATATCGCAACATAGCATAGCATAGCACAGAAAAACATAGAATATTAAAACAAAGCACAATATAGCATAGGAAAACTAACACAACCTAACCTAGCATATGACAACAAAACATAAAAAGGTAAAACATATTACGACATAGCGTACTTAAACAAAACATAGAAAGGCTTAACACAACATAGCTATATAGCAAATATAGCACATCATAACATAGTAAAAGATAGTACTGCACAGCAAAGATTGCATTGTAACACATAGCTTAGTGAATCATAACACAATATAGCATAGCAGAACATAGAACAGTTAAACATAGAGCAACAGATCAAAGCATTGCATAGAAAAGCATGATAGCACAGCACAACATAACATATTACAACGTACATAGCATATAACATTTATACATACTATATGTATATATATACGAAACAGAAGCACGTTGGCTCAAGTGTCAAATTACTTAACTTCTATTTGATTTCCGTATCATTTAAAAATCCATCAACGCATCATTTCACAATACGCGAGGCACTCATATCGTGCGCGAAACCGTGTCACCCCTCTATTTTATTTACGGTAGCACACGCTTGCTTGCGGTTCGCCAGCCACAGGCATTATCGTGGTGAGATTTGACGTTCCACTCTCTTGAGGGTAGACAATGTGAAATCGCTACTTTATCCATAATTAGACTGATATTTGGATGAGTACTAATATAACGGTAAGCGCTAATGTAAGGTTACTAATTTGACTCGGGGGTGATATTTTGCGGTTAGTGCAGTGTACATGTGATCACATATGTTGCGTAATTGAATACTGATATTGGTTTTACGATAAAATGTTTAAGATGAATTAGTAAGATAATGTTTGCAGTTGTGTGGTGGAAAAATAGGATATTGAACCCACAACATGAAACAATGCTGTTGCACTTGTGATTTCCCGAGTATTTAGAGGGCTTGCAATGCAGAAAAAGATTTTGATGTATTTGGAGTTATTGTGAGACAATGGATATTACATAATGATATCGGCGATCTCTGATGTTTTATAGGTTTTTTCATATTTGCCTAGGGAAAAAGTAAATTATATCCTTTGTGGATTAGAATAAAACTTTAGATTATTATATTATATGGATTCGCTATATTTCAAATAAATTTCTCGGGCTTTCTAAATAAAAGCGCTAAGCCTGAGTAAGATATCGTTTTCCAGCAGGACGATGTCAACCGCAAATAACACTAGTTTACAAAATTAAATAAAGTCAGATCCTTTCAAACAATTCCATATCGTTTTATTTCGTAGTAATAAGTAAACGCAAATATATATTTGTTTCATTTCTATCACGTTTTGGAGTTAAGTTATTATCACATCTTATTGTCAAACTACCTTCCCTTCTTCCTTGGTTTTGATGTAGTGTATCGTTAAGTTAAATAAATATCTGTAAAATGTCAAAAAGGTTTTGTAAAAGACATCCTATAACAAAATCAATGAGATGCGTATAATATGATTATTTCAAAATTCCGGTATTTTAACAGGACAAAATGTTTTGATCTTATTCACATTTTGTTTTTGTGAAAGATGTAAAAAAAATCAAAGTTCTTGGACTGTAGGAAGCAAAGGATTTTTTAATTTTAATATGTCAGTGTTATGAGGAACCATTTTACTACGAAAATTATCGTTACTAATATCTTGGAAACATTACGTGTTCGATTTTTTTATAATTATTCTGAAACTCAGTACACCTCACTCGTTATAAAACAAAAATGTATTTAAAGGACAAAACTTTGTAAAATAGTGTAGTCGACAAATCGTTTGGTTCAGATCCATAAATAGCACCAATACCTTTATCAATTTAATTGTTAGTAGATTCAATAAATTGGTTTATAATGTTGGTAGAAAAAGGTTACTCACTTTATTTAAGTATTCATTTATTTTAAAACGAGAATAATTAACCACTCATAAATACATATTCGGTTGGTTGAAATTTATTTTACTTAACAAAAAATCTACATCTCAGTGCTTCAGAATAGGAGAATTACTGGCGTATGTTAACGGGCGTAAACGGAACGTAAAACGAACAAAGTTTTAATTGCCCTTAATACGGATTTTATGGCATTCATAGTAAGACTTCCAGAAAAAATCTTCATATTAAGCTAAGGCTGATCAATAACTTTCATATTAGATATCTTATAAATAATGTTTAATCGAGAAGTCCATATATAATATAATGCAGAAATTGATAATTGAGATTTGGGAAAAGAAATCTGAAAACACTTCTTAATTTTTAATACTAGAAGCGTTTAAGATTTCAAGAAACATTGCCGTAGGACTGAGTAATAAAAGAATTAAGAGCAAAACCACTTTTCTGAAGTTTCGGCAGGCGATTCTGTCGCATCGTTTTAATACAAGGGAACTTTTTTGTATTACCAATAGAGAAAATGGAGGTTTTTCACCTTTACGGAGGCATAAATATATATAAGCAATCTAACAGGATCCCTTTACGATTCAGCACCAATTAAATGTAAAATTTGTTAATTTTTTCCAGAAAACCTCTTACAAAGTGACACCATATGCGGTAGCTTCTTCGAGCTAAGTTTGGGCTTAACCTTAGACATCTAAAATTTTAAGCCAAGATCGACAATTTAATGGCGTCTTTTATGCCATTTAAGCATTTTTGATTAAACTACAAAGTTTTTTTTGCGTCAGCTAAATATACTATTAAAACCCTCATGACACCACCTTCACACACGAAGCGCCAGTACAGACGTATTCAAGAGAAAACTAATCGCGAAGGTATTCGTTCTTAATGCACTTAGATCATTTTTCTTTCTTCACTGTGATTTCCACCATTTTGAATTTCACTCCATCTCAGTGCCAGCAACGGGAACACCCTCTTTTTTTTGGACTAATGCCACACACTCAAAAACCACAAATAACGCTCCAACTTCCACTATCAGCCTTAGATCACAACAACATAACACTAAAAGTTACAACGTGGGCAGAGACCAATAACAATGCATCCTTTGAAAGAACGTATCCAGAATATTTTGTAACGAGAGCTACCTCACCAAAGCCGGACTGCATGAAAATGTAATTCAATTTGAATACTTTTCTTTTTTTCACTTTGAACACGAGCAACAATAACGTTGTCAGTCGGCCACGAGCCAACACTAAGCCCACTACGGCTCCCCTTCAGTAAACTGACTTGCGCCACAAAGTGAAACTATGCACAGCGAAAGCAAGCAAAACCGGAGCAAGCAAATCGAAAGGGGCGTGCCAGCACTCCCTCCAACCGAGCCGTCACTACAAGGCTGCATTCCAACGCCGACTTGTTGCTTTTATGTTTTAATCCCGAATTCAATGGATTTCGGGGCCGTCTGCAAGTCCAGTCGGAATGTCTGGTGGAGAGCTTACCTCTGTTGAGGGCGGTGCCGGGCATGCGCAAAGCGAACGACTCAAGGCGCTGCAATGAGTGGGTGACCAGCATCGCTGATGAGGGGGTGGTTGAGTGATTTATGCTCACAATGCGGCGGGGGATGATGTACAGCAATGCTTTGACGGCAGGCGATTGCTTGCTTGGTAAATCAACGCTCCAATCATCCCTTTCGTATGGGAAGGGGTGTTACGGATTGCTCGGCATGCCTTCACTGACGCATCGAAAGCGTGCGAGCGAGATGGCGCGTTTGAGTGCCGATACGCGCATATCACGCTCGTATGTTTGGGTGTAAGTCGATTGGTTTTATGCGTGTCCTTGGAGTTTGTAGCTTGTGGTGGGAGCGTCTGTTGGTTGGCTATTTGGCTCGCTCGCTGGCTGGCTGCCTTTCTATGTTGGCCTTTGTTGTTCTCAAACTCAATTTGACATATTGCGACAGGTGACCCAAGCGTACGCAATATTGGTGGCAATCAGTTTACTTTGACGGGCGCTCGCATGCGGTACAACTACTCTAACGACGCGATAAAGCAGTGTAAAAGTTTCTTCTGTAGTAAAATGTGATTTTGAAAAATCTGCTGCTGTGAAAAGATTTTTATATCTGAAACTAAATACTGATTTATATTGCAATTGTTTGCTGAGTAAATTTTGAAAATCACCAAGAATTCGTGGAGTAATGACGTTCATTGTGATTTCCGTGTGAAAATATCCTGCATTTAAAAAAGTATGTTAATAAAATATGTTGAGATGAAAAGTGCTTCTGTTTATGAGAAATATGGTGAAGTTATAAAATTAAAGATGAAAATATAGTTTACAAAAAAAAAAAAAACTGAAACCAATTAGTTGTTGAGTTTGGTTGTACCTCATGACAGAGAATTAAAATGATTTTATAGCAGTGCATAGACTTGCTCTTACTCTTAATTAAAGAGTTGAGAAAAAAAAAATTAAGGATGAATGACAAAAATATTTGTTTGAAAATTTTTATTGATTAAGTCAGGATTCATAAGTCTATCCATATATTATATAGCTATATATTAACCTGAGAAGAGAGAAATTATATCAAAATTGTTACAGTTCCATAATCAGTGTTTCGCGAGGATGATTTTTGAAACTGAAATCCGTCGTTATAGAAAAAATATGTATAAAATATAATGAATTCCTCATTTTTATGAAAGAATTACTGACACATTATTGTTTTCATTTCGTGTCTATCTATGGGCTTCGAAGTTCAACAGAACGTTTTACTGCAACTCAACCTTGCAAATTTGAATTCAGCACCATTTTTCACATATGAAAACTTCTCTTGGGTAAAATTGCACTCCAATTAATTATAAGAATCACTTTTTATGACATTTGTATGTCTTTTTT